AGACCAGGGATTAAAGAGGTCACAAGAGCATTAAGGAACGATCTCATTTAGTAATTGTTGAAAATCTGTTGGAACAGCTGAGACTTCAGAACACACTACAAGTTTTTAGCTGTTAACGGAACTGCAAAAAGCACTGCTGATAAGGTCAAGGATAAAAGTCTGACAAAATCCTTCAAGGCACCAACTTCTCAGACCATATCTGATGAATCCACTTCTGTGCTTTAGTGTTCTGTGTGTAAAATGCAGATGGTATCATCATCTTTTCTAGCAAAGCCGCTCTGACAGGAAAAAAAAAAGTAGTAGTCTGTATATTAAAATCAATGAGCTTTAAATATTTATTTATATAACTCAGTGGATAATAAACATACCAAAATTTCTCTGAAATTCTGATTTATACATTCAGAATAGACAACCCAAGGCCCCTGTGTTGCTGCAGAGGGGAGAGGCAGGCCTTCAATAGTTGCTGCAGGAGTGCCTTTGCCTTCATGTTGAACCCTGAAAGCACTGAAACAGGAGCCTGTCGGGGTGAGCTTTTAACATTTTAATTTACCTCAGTGAGTTTTAGAGGGGCCATTCTGGTTAACTTGTGATTTCTGCTTTACTTTATCCTTCTTGGCTGCTGGGGTCATGCTACTGAAAAACAGAAAATACTTAAGCCCCCATAAACAAACTAGACGAGATCAGAATGCTCCAGCATTAAACCCAGGATGAGTTTGAGAAATCCAATATTCACAGTATTTTCTCATTTAAAAATTGTGAGCAAGTAAATCTCACATTTATAAACAGTAAAGTTGGATTTTGATCAGACAGGTTTCATATCACTGGAAATCAAAGATTTACATAAATGTCTCCACAAATATCAAAGCGCTTAAGCCATCATTTAAAAAAAAAAAAAAAAACAAAGTCTAGCAGATAGTGATGTTACAGAAACATGCACAACACTAGTGTCTATTTGTGTATACATTTAGTCTCAGGAAATAATTCACATTAAGTACTCCAACGTTTCATTATTTAGGAAAAAAGTATATCAGTTAAGATCAACTTAGAGAGAGACTAGAGAGTGGTAAAAATATGCTAAACTTGTTTTCAAAGATAATGCGTTAGTGACTTAAGTCTGCAAATTATCTTAACTGAGAAAGATGATTTTTTTTAATTTTTTTTTTTTTTTTGTCTTTCACAGTATGAATTTCCATTTTCAGATAGGCTCAGTCACAAGCTCCATCCTCCATCGATGATTAGTTCATTGCCAGTCACATAGGCAGACTGAAATTATAGAATGAATTTTATGAATTTTAATAGTTCATGGCTATTAAGCACAAGACAATACTATTTAAAATTTATTAGAAACTGATTTCTTCTATTTTTTTTTTTTAAATAAAAAGCACCAAGAAAAGCACTAAGTGTAAATACACAGAATATAGAACACATCTTAAATTGAAGCCTCTCACCTAACTCAGAGGAGTGTAGCAAGTTAAAGGCATTAAGATGATAATACATCCTGAATATAAAAATTCACATAAGATGGATTTCAGAGCTCATCTGCAGCAGTAATACCTTACACTGTGATGTTATTAGCTCTGTTTAACTGAGCAGAATCTGACCAGGTCAGTCAGTAACAACAAGACGACTTAAATGAAGATTTAGACAATATAGAAAGCAAGATAAGCAACGGAGAGGATGACATTCTTCTCTCCAAATCAGTACTGAAGCACTAAGTTGGTTTAATGTTTCTGTAAAGCTACTAAGATGAAAATGAGAAACATTTGCCCTTGCACAGCGGCGGTAGCTGACAATTTCCCCAATTATACCTCCTTAAAGCATGTTCCAACTGTGGTACTTGGAAGAGAGCTCATTTCTGCCATAATTCACAATTATTTGGACATGAAACATCCAAGCTGTGGGTCTAAGCATGTAACACTTTTGCAGTCTCTATCAAAATTCAGAGTGTTTTGTGCATCATAGGTTGTACTCAAAAAAATGACCAGTTTATTTTTGTAATAATTCAGGTCAAAGACAATATCAAACCCCCTAAAACAGTAGAATTGTGTCTGTTGCAAAGCAGGTAGGTAGTATTTACTGTCTGGTACTTACTTCATCAGAGGCCAAGTATACAAACAGATGGGCCACTTCTTCAGCAGTAGCCATTCTACCAGTCCTCTGTCTGGCTAGAAAGTCTTTCAGTGCCTAGACATAAGGGCATTGAGTGTATCAAAACCAAAACATTTTAATCCAATTGTTTTTCCACATGTAGAAAGCAAAATTGGAAATAAGCTATGAAATCAAAACTTTAATACATTGGGTAGGGAATCTATGCTAGGAAAAGAAATTAGAAGGGTAATTTAATGATATGAATTTCAGTCTGGAAAAATACTAAGAGAGTAGACTTAATCCTCTAGTTTCAGAGTGAGGCCAATAGGAGCACTTGTGCCTTTGTTGGTAGATATTCCCAGGGCCTTCAAACTAGGATTCTGTTACCTACTTAACACGATGGGCAGTCCTAAATCATTTTTAAAACCATATGCTAGAATGCCCTATCATGGTTAGGCACTAGTTTGGGGCAAACACATGCAAAAGAAGCAGCTATACTATAAGCAATGCTGCAAATAGTTCCACAGATGACAGACACTCTGCATTCATTAAGCAAATGCCCTATGATGCCTTCTAAGGCTCAGCTTGAGCACAAGCTGATCAAATTCAAGGACACATCTTGTTATGTTACCATTTCTATTCTGAAATATGGGATATTCTGGAATCTAGGCACAAGTGAGGAAGTGTGTTTTGTTTTTTATTTTAAAATAAGTTTAGCGTTTATATACACATGATCAAACAAATTGCTTTCTAACCTGTTCTGGGTTTGGCCTGGCTTTAATTCTTTCTTGTAGAGATGGTGTGTCAACAGTTCCTAAACAAAAGTTGAAAACTCAGTAATTAAAACTCAAGTATATCAACTGACATGACAAAGAATGTGTTACCATAGATTTAAAGTGGTGTGGTATGATATGAAATCTACATGTAATGTCATAATATAAGGCAGGAGAAAGTCTGCAGAACTATCAGCTTAACATAGGAACATATATTTCAAAAGACAAAATACTTTTAGAATAAGATTGTGTACTTTTCAGATTGTTAAACAATAGCTAGCCTTCCTGGTAATCCTAGACTGCTTTTAATTTTCAGACGAACACACAAATACCACGCAATGCTTATGTAATATGCATATGTTTAGATGTCTCAGTGCTGCATTAAGAGCACTGGACTGGGCTCAGCCCAGTCTAATTATAAAAGTTACAACTTCTCTACTTTACATGTCAAAGACATTAGAAATACACCTTGTTCTTTTTGACTCTTAGTAACTTTAATTACCCTTTGACAGTTCACTGCTCCCTAATAACATCAAACCATTTTTATTTTTTATTTTATTTTTTTTAAAAAGCATTTGCTCCAAGTTACCAGAATGCCGTAAGAATACTCACCCGGACATACGCAGTTGCATCTGATGCCTTGCTCAATGAAGTCGGCAGCCACAGACTTTGTTAGACCAATAACTGCTGCCTTAGAAGTACTATATACGCATCTGTTCACAACTCCTAGGAGGTCAGTGCAAACGTAGCATGGAAATAATGAGAAAGAGACAGACAAGTTTGTTCTGTATGCACTTGCTTCCAGTTTGAGCTTTTCTTGTGGGACACAGTGTCTCCACAAGGATAGGCTAGCTAAAATTATTTTCATCTATGTCTGAAAAGAAAATATGTTATTTTTCAAAAGTATAAGTTTGGCAGGTACAAACAGAAGTTTGGGAGGTGTAGAAGCCCATCTACTTACTAATTTTTTTTTTTTTTTTGAGAAACACAGCTACAGTGATTACATAGCAGTTATTTACTGCAAGTTTCTACAGATGCAGCACGGCAGCAGAACATTTTTAGGACAATAAAGTACAAAAGCAACTTTAGAAAGCTACTCACCTTTAATGCTGGATGCCACAGAAGACATATTGATAATATTTCCAGATTTCTGCTTAATCATCTGCAAAAGAATACTTGTATTATTCAGATGCGAAGTATTTTGTCATCTGCAGGCCCAGCAGAAGAGCCCTTAACTACTACAGAAATAGCCTTAAGTGCAACTGATCTCCAAGACAAAGTTTCACTAGCATGAATAAATGTTAGACTGAAGTAGTAAAACACATTAAGACTCTCACTAAGCTTCCCTAAATCAGGGGCATCAATGACACTGAAGTGCTTCACAGGATAGTGCCCCTAGTTGCAGAAAAAGTAGTACCTTAATGCATATTTTTAAACTTTGCAGCAGTAGTTTTGCTACATAAAGCGGACCTACGTGCTGTATTGTATTACACTGGTTCCCTTGCTGCTTTGTATTTGGAGACTTTTACTTACCAATTAATCACCTCTATATTTTAGTTTAGATATATTGTCTACCCGGAGGTTCAAAGTGCTTTAGAGTAGGATCATTATAATTTCAGGACCTTCCCTATCCAAAACTGCATATTGAAATTTTTATCCCAAGGCCCACTCTGTCCCCATGGCAATGACTTATATCTTCCTCCTTTAAACACAATGCAAGGACCACTTGCCTTGGGAAGAAATGTCTTCGTCATTAGATACATGCTGCGAACATTGAGGCTCATAGTAAAATCCCAGTCTTGTTCCTCACACTCCAGAATGGTTCCATGATGAACAAACCTAGAATAAGTGCATTAAAAGTATTACTGTGTTTCACAGACCTATGGCTCTGCGTGCATATTTTTCTATTATTTTCCTGAGTAATAGCAAACCCTCCCAAACTTATCAAGTAGGTACGATAGTTCTGATCAAGACAACAGTTTATTTCTTGTGATGAATATCAGTGCCATTCATGAAGAGAGATGTTGGCAATAGGGAAATTCCAAAAAACATACACAACACAAGCAGACCACCCGCTTTGTTTGCTGTGGTGCCAGAGGGCTATCAGCTATCAGTACAAGATACCCAGAGAGCCAGGGGGAGCTTAGAACTCAATTTTCAGAACCATTGTTTTTTTTTCTTGGTCTGGGTAACACAGCTGCACACAAATATGTCAGTTTTGATGAAAACACATGCAAATTTATATTAAGCTATAAAGCTTATTAAAATTAAAGGAATAATATGCATTCAAATTTAAGAAAGTACTTTTGTAGGACAAGAAAAAAATGTAGAAAGGAAGATGAAATAGAAGCAGATTACCCTGCAATGTTACAGAGGACGTCAATCCTTTCCATCTCCTTAGCCACATTTTCTATCTGTTCCTTCTTGGTGACATCCAGAACCTTTGTTTGAATTCCTATAAAAACACAGTCTTTATCTCACTTACTTTAGGTTAAAGATCAGCAGTCTGATTTTCAGAAGTGCTGAGGTCTGCAGCTCCCATGCAACTCAAGTGACTTGCTAGGAATCATGTCCTCTTAATAGTACACAGAGATGTGCTTGATGCTTAATGTAACAGTTAAATCAGGACAGCAATGGACAGCAGGGCCCCCCCCCCCCCAAAAAAAAAAACCCCCCCCTTCCTTCCAAAACAATTCTTTACTCTGACTAAAGAATTGCAGAGTCCATATAATCCTCATAAGCTTTCATGTCCTTTATTATTAAATAATAACTCCTTGGAACTAATTACAGGTTTCGCATACTATCACCATTGCATTACGTCTATCCATATATAACAGCTTTATAACATTTAATTAATGAGGAAAGTGCTTTAGAGTAAGTCATTATTAATTTTATATAACTAGGGATTTCATCATAGCAATAATAGAAATTATGAGAAATTGTAGCAGGCCTCTATAATATAGTTTAAGAACAGCGATGTTCTGCATTTGCAATTATTTAACAAACAAACAAAAAAGGAACACATACACATACCCTCAAAGAACATTTGAGCCCGTATTACTTTTTGCTATAAGGCCCTACTTATTTGAGGTCCTGACTACTGACACTTTGAGTGCTTATAGCACTGACTGTGTTGTGCTGTACTAAAAAGACACTAAAAACATATTAGCAATTATCATGCTTCTGTTTTGTTCAGAGAAGTTCACTGAAAGATTGAGAAATGCAATGATCTCAGAACAGGGAGACACTTTCTTCCAAACACTTTTCCGTAGAACCAGCCCTCTTCTACAGAAACATTCTAAGCCACAGCAGTGCATATCCACAGCAGTGCACAGAAGTGAAAAGAGCAAAACAAATGACATTTCCAGATGAGCTGCAACATGATAGGATATAATCTACATGTCATTTAAAATAAGAAGCTTGCAGTAATCTAACAAAACTAACTTCTCTCATTGATGTCAAGACTGACATCTTGCTATGAAATAAATAAGTTTAGGATACAGCCTGCCTGTATCCTAATTCTACTCCGCATGTAAATATTGGGCTGTGCACCCTTCTTGAATGCACGCACCAGCTTTCTTTCCGAAAGGGAACCTGAATGTGTAGAAAAGGAGGAGCCATGCTGTACTCCAACAGTTTCCTCCGTGCTCTTGAATACCAGCATTTTACGTACAAAGTCCTTGTCACTCTGCAGCACAAAATAAAGCAATGACAATATTTAAAGACATATTCTAAATATTTTTTCCTCCTGCTTTTTAAAGTTTACCATAACCTCAAATTATATTTCAATCTACCTATAACAAAAATTGAAAAAAAAAAAAAACAAAAAAAAACAAAAAACTGACATCTACTTTACTCCTTTTTTCTGGATATTTCTCCAGTTCTTGCAGCTTAGACTTATCCATGTCTGTAGCAATGACTTGGGCTCCTTCTTTTGCAAAAGCCTGAAGAACGCAAACAAAATAAATTCAGTAAAGCAAGTAAATTGACACTAGGATACTACAGATTTTAATAGGAATAAGTATTTATTCCTGTGTTTTCTTATTTCTTTTTTGGATTGTAATAGAAGTCGGCTACAAGCAACTATCCTTCTACTTTTCATTACGGGCATGCTAGGAAGCAATGAGTATCAATAGACCAACCAAGCATAAGAGAGCAGGGCGCAGGAACGTAATGGAAGAATAATTTTTCCTCAACTCACGATAGCAGCTGCTCGTCCAATCCCCTGTGCTGCTGCAGACAGCAGTATTATCTTCCCATGAAGTCGACCCATATTGCCAACCTGTGCAGCCAGAAGATATCACAAACATTAAAAAAAAATCCCTGTACCCAAGGCTGTTTCTACTCCCAAGTCCAAGTCCTATTCACTTAGGATGTGACCCTGAATTGGGCAGTGTTCTCTGTATCAAGAGGCACCCAAAAGAGAGGGACAAGGTGTTTGAACTCAAAAGCCAGGCAATATTATTACAGAAACTAGATTAAAATAATAATAATAAACAGAAAAAAATCTGAAGTGAAGCAGACTAGAAATAAAATAGCTTGCAAACTAGTATCTCAACTGCATGTTCTCATCTTACAAAGGGCCTCCTTACTTCCCCCCCTCCTTTTTTTTTTTTTTTTTTTTTTCTCCTTTCCCTTTCCCCTTCTCTCTGCACAGACACCAACTTTCTATACTGCAACCAAGTAGGGACAACAGCCTCCTGAGCTCCACAAAATGACTTTCTTTCCATGGCTCCTGCGGCCTAGTCTTTGCGCACTTTGGGAATGTCCCAGCACAGCAGATTTCCTGCTCAATAGAGCAAAGGGCAAAGAACCTCTGCCTTCTCTTCCCCACTTTCCTTGTTCTCTGGGAATTATTGAGCTTGCTTGGAGCAAAAGGTAGGGTGAAAAGGAGACCTTGTGAGTGCCAGTTAAAGCAGGTAGTTTTCCTCACAGGGGGCAGGTTCTACCTCACTGAACCTGCAGCAGCCAGAAGGCCAAGTGCAGTCATGTCTCCTGCCCAGGCACACACTTTTGAGGGCATTGTTACGCTAAAAGACAGACTACTTAAAGTGACAGACAAACAAACAAAAGCCATCATTTGCACTCACACAAAGATAGCTTCAATAGGCTTATTGTTTATTTCTTAAATAAACTATGAGCAAGATGTTTTAAACCATACCCTAAAAAGTATGATTACTGTATTCCAGTCGGAATGCAACCTCTGGGCTTGTTAACTGAGCACACAAGCAACCTTTTCTGCACTTTCAAAGTCGCACTTTCAAAGTTTTTATATAGCCATGAGTGCAGAAATCTCATGAACATGTAATTTTTAGCAAGAGTTTCAAGTATCAGAAAAATCACCACCAAGTGCTCACTCACAACACAGGAAGATCTTAGTTACTGACATGTCTTTTCAGTGGAAAAATTCTAATTAGCCAGAGTACTTCCTCAAATCATCATTACTCACATGTTAAGCAAAATATGCTAGCAATGTATTTCCTCCAATTAGCAGGTTTTCTGAATAAGTCTTGGTCATTCTAGCAATATTAAGCATTTAAAATATGACAATATAATCACTCACCAGAAGGCCTCCAAAAAACTTGGTACGCTTACTGACCTTTGTACGAAAGGAAGTTTTCAAGTTTTGCTCTGCTTGTTGGGATTTGTAGTTCAACTGTTGCATTTCTCTATAACAGCATAATTTCCTTAAGAAACATGCTGCCATCTAGCGAAACTCTAGGTTTAAGAGTGAGATTTCTCCTGCAAGGTGGATAGCAAAAGGAAGGGGGGAGGAGAAAAAAAAAAAAAAAAAAAAAAAAAAAAAAGTCCCCACACCTCTACCAACATACCAGAGTTAGGAAGGGGATCTAGAACTTGTGTATTTTGGGCTAGCCATTTCTATAAAAGGTAATCCAAAACACTTCCCAAAAGTTTAGAGCTACAAACACCTTAAAATTCCTAGCAGTCCTAACAATCAGCAGTTACTGGCATTCAAGGTAAACAGACAGTCATGCCATGGGTAAAGATCTAAGAAGTACCTGCCTCCGTGAGGTGAGTAATTCTAGTGTAACTGTTTCAAGAAAGCAGCAGCTTACCAAAACAGGAGTTATTTCAGTGCTCAGGAATGCACCAGTGTTATCATTTGCTTACAATTTTGTCTAACCCATAGAGAAATACTTAAGGCGACATTCAGCACGGCTTTCGCATGAAATAAGTACACATGCTTTTCATGTGAGTGCTTGTTAGATGTGACTAGATCACTTCAAGTGATTGTATTCTTCAAGTAGAGCTCAGGTTTTGAGCACAAAGTTTTTTTAGTTGAGGACAGGGAGAATTTAGTCTTTCAAAAATCAAGTATTTCTTGACAGAAGACTCTGTTAGAAGGGGAAAATTATATACACACACACGTATAAATGAACAAAACATACTGCTGCAGAAACTGATTGTAGAAAAGCTAGAGAGGAAACAGACAAAAATTATAATTATGACTGAAGTGATGAAATTAATATCCTTAATCAGCATCATTTCTCCAGAAAATTCAAGTGATCAGCAAAAAAAAGATATATATTTTTACAGTTAACACATTCAAGTTTATTATCAAACAAGCCTTCTCATACAGAAAATAAAAAAAGAAATAGGTCTCACATTGTGGATAAGTACAATAGCAAAATATAAAGTCTTTTTTTGCAGGCTAAGTTGTCCACAGTTTGTTTCTGCCTCTCTACTGAGCAGAAAACCTGTTAGTCGGTTCTATGAGATATTGTTAAAAAAAAATCAGATATCCAACTCCACACAAGAAGTATATCTCAAGATGATGCAAAATACAGAGTTCTTCTTGGCACTATTACTGACAGAGCCTCTGAAGTATTGTAAGGAATTCTAAAGATGAAACTTTGATTCTGTGTTCTATAAACAGAAAACTGACAGTTTCAACTGCAGCATAAAGAGGTTAAAGTTGTGGTGAAAACACATTCCCCAGGGCCCTATGAAAACATGATGCAGAAATGGATGCAGAAGAAAAAAGTTATGAGGACAGATGTGTCTACTTCAACATCATCCAGATACAAATATCAACAGCTCAACAGCTCAGAAGAGCTGTATGAATGACAGAATGAAAAGTTGAAGATTGAGAAGTTTCACAGTAGATTATTTTTGACCATCCATTTCCATCTTCTCTTCAGAATATAGCTTCTGCTATCTTTTCCATCCAATGGTAAAATGACCAAGGCAAACCACAGCATCAGTAGGTTACAGGTAGCATTACTGTTTCTCCATTTATGTTCTTCTATTTCAGCTTTTATGGCCACAGAAAGTAGCAGCTCCAAGAAGCAAGGAATATCTATATGCTACCAGAGCCTAGTAGATTTGTTCTAGAGGATGATGGCTTTTAACCTGAAGCAGTCATTTTCTGTGTATGCAGGTTCCAGCTGTTCCACTGTAGACAGCTTACAGACAACACCTTTATTGGGTGGTACAATCAGGTGCTTTATCTCCTCCTGAAGTTCCAAACCACTGCCTAAGGTGTTCTTCTGTAGGCTCAATTCCTGCAGGTGGTGTACCTATACAGAAAACAAAAACATTAAAGTAACACGTGCAGACTTTCCTAGATGTACAAGCAGTAGGAACACAGCAATTTAATCCAGACTAGTGCTTTAGATGTCAGCTATCAAAGCTTGCCTCTAATCTCAAAGACAGGAACATGACATTCTGAGGAAGGCTGTACTATTAGCTAGCTGACTATCACAAGAAATAGTACCAAGTTGAATCATATTTGTTCTGGCAGTCTGTTTTTAATACCTCAAACTGATAATGTCTTCAGCACATGTGCTGGGGTCTTCCAAGTCATTAAAACAATGCATAACAATGAAGACAGTTGGTTTTATTTGCTAAGAGAGATCACTACAAGATTTCCCCAGAACTCAGTAGGGTAGAAATCAATCAGCAGCAGGGCTGAGAAGAAGATACCAAAACTGCTGTTACTGCAACTAGAGAAAGACAGACGGACTGATTTCAGTGTCAAAGACCAAAATCTACCATCTTAATCAAGTCCAGAAAACAGTTAATTTTGCAGCTAACACTCCATACACAACAGTGGTCCATGCAAGTAAATTCTGCCAGATATTTGTACTTAAAGTTACCTATCCAGTAGTATCCCATGCTGCTTTTTAAAGCAGTTATCAACACTTTCACTGAAGTGAAAGAAAACTGTCTGGATATTCAGACCCTTAAGAGCTATTTAGGATCTATAGCACATATATAATCTTCATGGCTTCAGCTGGCCAAACCCTCAACAATCAAATGACAAGGCATTCAAAAAACCCCTCTGCTGCCATGCAAGTTTCAGGTTTGAGTACATAAAGTACAGCTCAGCTACTCTCCTTCACAGACCACCCTTTATATTTTGTTTCTACTAGTCTTAAGAGTCTTATGTCTCCATAACATACCTGTTGGTGCAACTAAGTTGGAATTATCAAAGAAACCTGTTGGGTAAGTCAGTGGCAGAGACTTTGGTGTATCCCGTGTCACAGTTTCCTGAGAGCGAGGTTCCTTGGTGGGAGAAGGCATTTGCTCTTTAAGAGAGCTAATTTGTACCACTTTCCTTGGAGACCTTGGGATTGTCTCCTGAGTAGTTTCTCTTGAGAATCGTTCTTTTAGTTTTAGTGCTCTTTCTTTCCATTTTCTAAGTTCTTCTTTCAGTTGAAGCTCATTACTGAACAGCAACAAAGGAAGAACAACACACAAGGAAGACAAAAATCTGAAGTAAGTTTTTTAAGTGAAAACAAAAAACAAACAAATCCCACACCTTGACCCTTCTCCCCCTCCCCTGCCTCCAACTCCTTTTTTAACAGTTAAGTACACATACCACAGTTTTACCTTATAACTCTTAAGCAAAGCATGCTCTCAATAATTCTCTTAACTTCAAAGATATAGATTCACTTTCCCCCCCCGCTCTTTTTCGGGTCTTATATTTAGATTAGTTACTTCTATAGATTTCTCAAAGAAATAGCTACAATCACGCACTGTTAAAAAACAACCTATTTGGCATGTTGATTTGCTTTATACTTACCTTATCAGGAGATCATTTTGTTTTTTCAGCTGCAAGTTTTCTTTCTGCAGTTTAGCTTGTTCAGATTTTAAAACAAGCATTTGTGTGCTCTGCACAATGCCACTGCCACCACCACAAGTAAGAGGCATTTGCGGTTGCTGAGGAGCTTCTTTTTCTGACACCACTAGAAAATAGTTTATACAAATATGTGTTATGTGCACAGTACTTGCAAGCAAATCAATATATTTAAACCAATCAATATATTTAAACCATGCATATATAAGATGGAAGGAAGAAATCTTGTAAGCAAACCTGAATAGATTACAAGTGCCATTACAACAGCTACTATAAACATATATATCCTGGTATATAGGATATGTATATAGTATATATACACACTACTGTACATATGCACAGTAGTATTTGCACTGACAGCAAAAGCAGTTGAAAAGATTCTTCATCAGGCCATTTAGAGTCAAAATGAATTTCAATTATGTCATAATTATGGGTAGAACTAGCTACTTATATGTGAAATCAATTAAAGACGACATGACAGTATAATCCACAAAATCCATCAGGGATCTTAAACAGGAAAACATATACGCAAACTCTGAAGCTGTAAAAAAAGAAGGAACTTTTAGATTCTTATCGCAAAAATGTATGTAACATCACAAGTGTGTAACATTAAAAGGGTACTTGATCTTGAGTTTACCTGTAACGTCTTGCTCTTGCTGTGCTCTTCGAAGTTCTTCTTTTAGTTTTCTCAGCTGTTCTTCCTGGTCTGCCACAATAACTTTATAGTTAGCAAGTCTATATTGAGGAAAGCAGAGAAAAGAAATCATTATTTTACATGGTCTAATAGTTATTAAAGTTGTCATAGCTAGTTTCATGTCCAAAAGACCTGTCAAATAGTAGCAAATCCTGGTGATATAGGTAAATAGAAACAAAATACTTAAAAATTTCACTGACAATCACATGAGGTGAAGTGCAGAAAAAACAAACTGAATTATTCTCTGCAGTTCATTGGAAGAATGCAGAGTGCTCTTATAAACTGCTTTCCCTCTACTTCCTTTAGTCAAACTAGTTATTTGGCTTATGGCTAAACTTTTGTTGATTTTTTTTTTTTGGTGTCTGTGTAGAAAAGCATCTCTTATAAACTTAAGAAATGTATACAGTTTTTAGTCTTTCTTTGGAATTCAGCTTTGGAATTCTATTATTTAGAATAAGAACTGAGGATATCTAATAATGAATGTAGCTTCTGATTTTTCCCCCACAACATGAGAACTAAGCAGTTAAAAAGCTTAAAATGTAGGACTTGAGCTTACTTCTTATCAAAGGAGTTGGATTGTTTCATTCTTTCCATATCATATTTTACCAACTGCATTTTGAGATGATCAATTTCGTCTTTATACAGCTCAGCACCTTTATCTAGCTTTACCTAAATAGGGAAAAAAGACATCTAGTATCAAGAAAAAAAACTGCTATTTGTCAGTAATGAATTTGGGGGCTGCTTGGTTTACACCATTATTATAGCCTACCAGATTTTGCTATACAAGATTAGAAGCAGAAAGTTATATCTGGTATCACCATAATATTAATTGTCAATGAAAATAACAGACATTCAAGATTTGGGTTTTGTGTGCAAACATATTTAAGCTATTTTTGTTTACTTGCCTGCATATATAAACCTGGGAATTTTGAACTAATAAGCAAATAGTGTGTGCGTGTGTGGGGGCAGGGAGGGCAGGAAACAATCCATGCTCTTGTTTCCAAGTCCAAAATATCTGCTTCTTAGAACGTTTTAGAAAAGCATCATTTTGTACAAGCTGTAGCTTTAGCTTCTAATGTGGCAATACAGGCTCCAAATTTTGCCAGAGTATTGCATTGTTAAGTTGTAGAGCTCTGTACTAGAATAAGGGAGTGCATTACCCCAATACCATTGTACAGCACGATTAACTAGCTCACAATTGCTACATCTCTTCTATAGCCTTTTTCCTCAGGCATGCTCCATCCTGGACAAATAGAGAATATAGGCAGACAAGTATTTTACTCATACCTGGAGACTCTGATTCTCTGTTAAGGCATTTCTGAGACGCTTCTCAGTCTCATTTAGTATGGTCTGAAGTTGAGTGAGCTCACTTGTAGCCGTTTTCCTTCTTATCTGTTCTTGCAACTTGTTTATCCTGTCATCCTTCTCTTGGAGATTTTTTCCTGCTTCATTTATTACATTTTCCAGCTTTTGGATTTTTAGTTCCATAGCCTTTAGAAAAATATCAGTTTTAAGAGATTATGCCAACAGTTATATAGTATACAGTATTTTAGAAAACAAGCAAACAAAAACCAAAAACAAAGAACTAGCCACACACCAACACTTACTACATAGACTCTAATGTTGTCCACCTGACTTGGACATTCACTGAGTTTCCTTTATTTATTTTTAAACAACATACACTGTTTAAAGGAGACTTACAAGAAAATGGTATAGGAAAGAGTTGGTTACATCATTGCCAACTAAAATTCAGATTTAACTATCCCTAATCAATCCCGCCCCTTCCCTTTAAAAGGGAGGGGGTGGTATCTGATTCCTAGAATTGTAGGGTTAAACAGAAAGGTGGGGTGGCAGGAAGGAAAATAAACAAACAAACCGTCCCCGCCTCCACAACACCCCTCCACACACATCCCAAACAACTTTCCCCAGTTTCCAGTCCGATACAGCAAATACCACATAAAAGGAAGAAATGTCTGTTAGAATTAATGCTTCAAAAACAACTGGGAATATTTTATGCTGTCTTCTAGACTGACATTTGTAGATAGAACAGTCAATTTAAAGAACTCGTGCTACAGACATTAGAGCTTGAAATCCTACTTTGAGTATAAGAAGCTACAAGAACAAGAACACTCTGGGTGCAGCTGTGTGGCACAGACTTAGAGTTACCATCAATCCTAATTTATTTTCTCAAATGTAAGCACCCTTACTTGGAAATGAAGCATCAGAAAGATTTTCTTTAGAAACAATTTTCACCTTTATATCTTGTTCTGTAGCCTTCAATTTGTTATGAAGTCTATAGTTTTCCTCTTCTAAGACCAGACTGGCAGAGGCACCAGGTGCCAGTTGTTCTTTAGTATCGTTCAGTTCCTGAAGCAATTTTTTTGTTTTCTCTTTTCTTAGTTTACATTCAGCATCAGCTCTTTTACAATAATCGGCAGATCTAGCATCCAGTTCTGAAGAAAGCTGAAGGAGTACCTGAAATTAAGTAATACCACATAACTAATTTTGAACTATTTTTTGAACCAGCTAGAAATAAGTAGTAAATTGGCTTGTATTAACATCATACTCTTCTCTCAAAAGCACAATTGAAAGTGCTTATAAACAAAAATCAGATCAATAGAAGAAAATGAAAGCTACATTTCATTTCCAAAGAGGTGTTTTTTTTTGTTTTTTTGTTTGTTTGTTTTGGGGGGGGGGGTGCAGAGAATGGGGTGGGGAGGTATAAGGCAGAAAATGCACATCAGACTTGCCAGTCTCAATGAATTAATTCAAATTCTAACATTGCAGAAATAAAGCAACTACAGCAGAGAGACTTCTTGAACGCAAGTACCATAAAGAGAATATAATTGCTTAGAAAAGCTTAGTAGAATATATGAATTGACCACAATAACTGAAATAAGAAACAACACACATGAAACTATTTAGTAACAGGTTTCCCTCCCCATAACCTTTACTTTGGCAGAGTTTGATAAAAGGTATATTAAATTGTATGAAGTTATCATCAAAATGCACTTTCATAATAGACTTATCTGGTCTTTTTCTTTCACCAGGAAAAAAAAGAAAGTGGTAGCAGGGCAAGAAGATGGCAAGAAGGTACTGAGGTAGAACCACCTCTAGAACAACTTATTTTTTGTAAGTTGAAGAGGGGAAAGAACACTATCAAACTTTGCAGAAGCTTAACTATTTTTTAGTTGGCTTGAAGAGAATAGACAGCCTTGTTTGCATAAAACCTTAAGATAAAGAAGTGATTGTATCAGACTGCAAAGCTGTATAGACAAAACTATACGAAAATTTGCAATGCAGTTTTCAGAACTGGTTCTATGAAAAGACGAACACACACACACCAAAAAATACCATACACAAGTCCATCAGTTGTTTTCCAGAAAGCCATTTAAAAGAATTTCCAAGTTTGAACGTATGGGGGGTGGGGGGGAGGGAGGGGGGAGGGAGCGAGAAGAAGCCTTTAAAACTTTCTAAATTTTTCTTTCTTTTACAGTTAAGTACAAAAGATTTAAAAAAAAAAATTTAACATTTTTTTTTTTTTTTTTTTTTTTTAAAATGTAAACTAGAGTGGAGATATTTAGACAGCTTACACAAAGTACTTTTCTGATGTTGGAAGTGATCAGCTTTTTACCTTTACTTTAGGAGTCCAGAAATTAATGAATTGTAAAAGCTTTTCATTGTCTTTCTTTAACCCATCTTTAAGTTTCTCTGCATCGTGGTGAGCTCCTGAAAAGGCTTCCCAAAATTGCATCATTTCTTTTCTAGCACTTTCTTCATGCTGTAACTCTGCCTCTATGCAGAGGAGTTCACTTTCCATTTCTGATACATCTTTAAGAACATCCTTTATAAAAAAAGAAATAGTAGTTTGAAAATGAAGCAAGGGGTCAAGTTTAAAGTATTCCTTTTGTAAATAAGAACACACCTAAGTACACATTTCAGCTTTCAATAGTTAAGCAGGGATGTATGGTAGGGGGTACAGATGGAAATATCTCAGTAAAAGATGTCATATTTTAAGAGACATTTTAATATCAGGCGATATTTTATGTAGTAAGTTATCAGTCTCATTATTTTATAATCATAATTTCACAATGAGTCACTTCATAAAAACACAGCCTTCGCTTATACCAAGTTACTATCACAAATAGAAATATGAAGTTAGTGGTTCCTCCCCTTCTCGGTGAGCTTTGAGCAGATAAAAGCAATGCTCATTGGACTAGCACATCCATACTACCCTGAGCCCTGCAATATGCAGATCTACAGATCTGCTTTTATCCGGAGTCTGTTACAAATCTGCTTTTATCTGGAGTTTGTAACAAATGCTACCTCTGCATCCAAGCGCAAATTCTGGGGCAATTCAGGGACGTTTAAGTCTTGAGAAGATATTTCTTGATGGTTCGACCGAGACTTCTTGAGACACTGAATTTGAGTTTGAAGCTCATCTTGCTTTCTCTTTTCCTCAAGCAATTCCATTTCATACTTGTTAACATTGGTATGATAGTCTCCCTTCTTCGAGCAAACTCGACCAAAAAGAAACTGTTTTAAGAGCACAGATTACATCAGAATGCTTCAAAGGGAGGAACGCATTTTACCAAATTATGCTAGAACACAGAGTACCCTAGTCTTAAGAGCTTAATAAGCAAAAATTTAAGGCAAAAGAATATAAGGCTATCTACACATTCAACAAGAAGTTGGTACCTTCAATTTGTTTAGTAAACTCTGCAGATGACCATTTATTTTCTCATTTTCAGTCTGAAGCCTCTTGACTTGCTTAGTCTGCTCCGATGGAAGCTGAGTCAGTATCCCAGCTATCAGTACTTTCAGACTATTTAGTTCATTCTTTAGATTACAAGACAATGTAGAGAGACATTCATATCTCTTCCCCATGGCTGGAAATTTCTCAAGAAGCTCCTAAGTTCAAGATAAACAAAGTCAATCACAATAAAGAGGAGAAACGAAGAGATTAGCTTTTATCAGAAACTTGCAACAAAGCATCAGATTCCAGAACAACTCCTAGAGCACATATCCGTTTTATAACAGAAGAACTGTAAGACTTAAAATTTCAGCTCAGTGCTCCAAGGAAAGAAAAAGATCATGTTTTGTTTGGGGCTTCATTGTGCATTCACCTGCAGGCAGGGTGTTTCTAATGCTCTGCACCTTCTCTTCTTTTGAATGATAAAGGTTTGTCACATCTTAACCAGAAAAGCTCTCCACACCTTCCATAAAGGCAGGTGTGACCAGGCAGTGAGCAGGCTGAGAAATGCAGCAGGCATGAAGGTCCTCAGTAAACTGTAGTATTGTTTATTGGAAGCAACATGACACATTTCAGAGCAAGAAAGTCAGCCTCCATTCATTAGCCAGCCCTGCCTCCATCTTTGGTTGTTAGTGAGAAGAAATACGATTCAGCTGTTCCTCTACATTCATAAAACAAGGGGAGCTGACATAGTAACTGCCTGCCATCCATAACACAAGATACCTAAGCAAATGGCACAAGAAACATTGCAGCTGGTAGAACTAGCTTACTTATGACTTGTTTTTTCTTAGTTTGTGCCTCATTGTGATAAACATGCCCTGGGGCACCAAAAGAAGAGGTAATATTCATGCAGTAATCCAGCCTATTTTCAATATCCGTAAGAGCAGATAGTCTTTTGAGTACTAATGCAATAGTGACATCAGTAACATTCTGCAGAAGAAACTTCTACAAGTTAGCAATTAATACCTTTCCTATACACAGGGGGATCTTTTATTGCATGCATATACTAGCAATCAGTTTGAAAACTCTCCATTATGACTCAGAAAGCAACACTGCAATTGAGGGTCCTAAATGATGGTATTTTCATGCCTCTCTCCACTGCTGATACAGTGCAACCAGGACTAATGAAGATAAAGCTACAAAACAGTTTCAGCTTCCCCCCCGCCTTAATTTTTGGTGTCAATTGAACAATCTGTTAGGCTTTACTAGCAGGTATTAAGTGGTCTCTGATTCTGCTACATATCTCTGAGTTGTAGTAGAATGGCAAGATTTATGTTATTTCATACATTTCCCTAAATCTTGGTTTATATTCTTGCATGCAAGTGGTACTTGCATCCATAGCGGGGTGTACTCAGGACCGCTAATTAGCACTCTGAGAAATTACAGAACTTCTCTATTTAGAGAAGAGGGGGTGCTACTTAAAAAAAATTAGTGAGGAGGAAACAATTTTGTGATTATGCAAAAACACAGTGGTAAGGCACTTGTACATCAGCTGTCGTTTTCAGCTGGACAATAACACAATCAAGTGAGATGCCTAAAGGCAGAACTACAATTCAAGGTCTCAGAACAGGATGCCCATGCATTGAACAGTAACACCACACCAATCCAGCCCATGACTTGCAGCACTACAGCAAGACGTAGTAGTAGTTTTATAAGCAGAAGCAAGCTTTATGCTCCAGATAAAAGGCTTAACATGAATGCTTACATAATCAGATAAGTAATTTACCTTAATTTTCATTTTTTTTTCCTCCAGGCTGCCATCACACATCTCTTCTGCATTATCAAAGGTGTTCACTTGAACTGATAGGTCATGCAGGTTTTTTTGTTTCAATTGGTTCAGAGCACAGTCTAGTTTGGCATTTGTTTCTATGACCTAAAATAAACATAAACATTTAAATAACACTCAAGAAAGTAAAATGTCATTAATAAGTTAAGTATGTAACCTGCAACACCAACCATCTCGGAATTTTTTTGCAATTCTATCTTGAGCTGGTCCCGCTCAGACTTGACTTCCTGAAGAAGTTTCTGTAGCTCATCTTTTTCTTTATTGATTAATGAGATCTCTTCTTGAAGCTGGAAATCATGATGAGTTCTTTCAGCCAATAACTTGTCTTTTTCACATGATACAGTATTTAGTGTCTCAGTTAACTGCTGGATCTATATTTAAGGGAGGAAAAAAAAAAGAAGAATTCTTAAAGGTTTTAATTACTTGCAAGAAGAAATTAAACAAAAACAACAACAAAAAAGGAATAAAAGGAACAGCATTACTCCTGAAGAGCTCTACTTCAGTCAGTTTTGGTCTTTACTAAAGCAAGAACAAAAGAGTAGTCATCCCATGACCAAATAAGCTTAGCATGTCCAAAATAAAGATGAAAAGTGCCAATAAACTGATTGGGGAAGAATCAACCACAGCATGCTTAGAACAAAATAGTTAGAAAACATCCAAAACATGAAAACTTCCAAGCCCATTTCGGTTCATATTGTTAACAGTGCACCTTTTAAAGCACATACGAAGTTCCTGTTTACTAAGCTTACAGGTATATGTCTATTCTAACAGAACAGATAACCCAGGTACTTATCAAATTAAGACAAGTTAGTGATACTTAGAAATAGCAGAGAAAGTTGTGCATAAGTCTTTATCTATGTTTCTGCTCGTTATAGCACCTATAAAAGCAATGCTCTGAGATTTAAGTAATAGTATTTGTCTTGAGCAGGCATTTAGTACAAGCATAAGACATCATAAAGAAATGCAGAATAGGAAGTATTAAAAAAGCAAAAAAAGCAAACCTTGTTTGTTAGGCTGTCCTCTAGAATTTCTGAGCGCCTCTGAACCTTAAACAGTTGTTCTTCTCTTTCTTCAGCTTTGCTTTTCTCATTGTTGAGTAGTTCTTGTTGTTGTTTCAATTCCTTTTCAGTTTCAAGGATCTAGAGTAAAAAGGCAGTGTAAATGAAATAAAGTTAGGTTTACAGCCTGGCTGAGAACTTAATTTGCACAAACCTAGCTGCTCTATTTCTGGGAAATCAAAAAATGAAAATATCAAAGCTACAGATGGTCAAAATGATTATCAAATTCCTAAGTAGGCGCTACTACGCAATGGACACTACCTGAGCATTTTATTAAGTAGTCATTAAACTAAGATACCTGTTAAGAGATGCCCTGTAGAGAAGACAAAGAATGCCTAGAGAGCTCATCTCTTTTAGTTTCAGCTTTGGAGCTGAGCTGCAAAACATAATACTTCATCAAGTTCCTAAGAAAATACCTGTAGTGTTTTGGTAGTCAAACCTGTGTGGTCTCCTGTTCCTCATAAAACAAAACCCAAATAAAATATCTGCCGATAAGACCTATGAAAGATTAAGTTATGCTAAGTATTGTCTTTGGAACTACAGAAAGCGTGTTAATATTCTTCAAACAATTAGTGTTATATAATGAGAAAGATACTAATACAAAGAGCTTCAAGAATTAACCACCTTCTCCCTCATAGTCAGCACAGCGATTTCATTAAATATTAAAGCACCTTCTCAATACTCTCATGTAGGTTGACCTCCAGTTTGTCCTTTTCTGTCCGAATACCTTCCAGCATTTGCTGGAGCTTGTCTCTCTCCTGTGCTAAGATGCAACTCTGCTTCTCCAGCTCTTGAAATTTACTACTGTCACTCTCAGTCTTTTGTTGCACTTCATCCAGGAGCTGGTGTTTTTCCTTAGTTACCAAGTTTAATTCTTGATTCAACTTATCTACCTATATAAAAAGGACAAAGTTATCAAGAATTCCTCTTCATTCAGAAGAAATGACATCATCTATTTGAACAGCAGAACAGTGCATCACAGGTTACTTTAGTTCTTAGGGTTATTGTTTCATTGTACTTGCCTTTTTTTTCAGCTCATCTATTTCTTCTGTTAGCTTTTTCTCAGTGTTCTGCAGTTTCTCTTCTCCTTCTGTTAGCATCATCTTCTGGAGATCAGTTTGCTCTTTCTGGTGTCTTAGTTCTTCCTGTAGATTCTCCATTTCTGCCTGAGTTTGTATGGACTGCAGAGAAGTGTTACATGGATGATTAATAATTATAACTCTTGATAAGTAAAACTCAGTCATAATGATTAATATCATTTTAAGGAGTATTATATAAAGCAAAGACATTTAAATTTCTGGGAGGGAATTCTCAGCAGGATAATAATTCTATCCCTTGAAAGCAATTTCTTCTTGTTACTTCTATCTAAGCTCAAAACCTCCAAAGGGGATATTGTCTTTAAAAATTTTAGTCTTAACCATAGCACAACCCATCTTCTTACTGGCTTAGCTTTCTCCTTGTCAGCTCACTGAGGATTGAATAGACTTCAGCCTTTAGATATTAACCAACCTACATTACCAATACCCTTCAGGTGCTAAGTGTAAAGCCACTGTAGAAGAAAGTGAAACTTGGGGAGCATTTGTCAGGTAGGCGGCAGACAACCACCTTAACCCAGAGCAGCAGAGAGGGAAATCAAATATTCCAAAACCCTAAGCCAGCTAAAACAGGGAAGAGGAAGATACTGAAGGGCAGAGAGCTTCGTGAGTGAAATACAGACATTCAGAGCAGTGTAACCCAGCTTTAATGCATGAGCATTTGAGAGGTTTGCACTTACTTTCTCTTTGCTTTTGTGAAAATTGGCCTCCAACTGATCTCTTTCTACTTTCAGGTTTTCTACAATTTGCTGTAGTTGATCTCTCTCTTGATTGAGAGAAGTAATTTTGTCGAGTTGCTCAGAAATACACTCCTTCATTGTTTGTTCACTTTGCTCTTTTTCTGACAGTAGCTTGCCATATTCAGAAGAGGCACGAGACAGGTTTTCAGTTACTTCTGTGAGCTGAAAGAACAAATAAGGATGAGTATTAATACTGCAAATGATCTATAGCAAGGGTAGAAGTAGTTTCCTAATTATGGGGACAAAGAAAAATAATAAATTAGAATGTTATCATTTTCTCCTAATTAAGGTTGATTTAACAAATCTTTATTGGATATTTCACAAGCATGCCTATACCTATGGATTTCATCATTATACTAACAGGAAACATGTCCATTCATTTACTGTTATAAGCCAAGAAAGTAACAAGTTGATTAAGCTTAACCAAATTCCAATGCTTCTGCATCATTGGTATACCCATTCATTTATGTAAAAATCCACAAATCATTCTAAACTGATCAAGAAAAAAAAGAAATAACAGCTAGGCAGATAGGCTTAATTCTTCTAAGTATTAGTGTTCTAAAGGCCTCAATAATAAAGTCACAGATAATTTTTAGTGTGGCAAACTAAAGAGCAAGCCAAACTGGCTTTTAGTATCTAGAATATTTTCAGAGTTACACAGCTGAAAGACAAATCGGAATGAAAGCAAAGTGTTTTAAGAGTTAAGACTTGGAAAATATATTGAGGCAGTGATTTCAATATTTCAACCTTCGGCACTGAGGCATATTTAGTTATGAACAAAGCTTGTAGCTTGCAATTATGATTCAAACTGCAGTTTGGTCATGTTTTCACAGCCTTTTTATTTTTATGGCATCCTTCTGGAAGCACTCCAATTAAGAGGAGAAAAGCCTTTAAGATACAGGGGTTCAGTGAATATGTAGTAGTGTAAGCTGAAATCCGCCCAGGGCATGCATTGACAATTGTGTCAGAATTGTTTTGCTTGAAATAAAACAAGATCCAACCTGCTGTTTCAGTTCATCAGTTGCTTTCCTCGATGCTTCTTGCACTACTAGGAATTGACTTTCTTTCTCTGAAATGCTTCCTTTCAGCTCTGCAATTGTCTCCTGATATTCCTTGAGAGAGTTATGAGCACATCTCAACTCTTCCTGCATCTCTGAATTCTTTGGACACAAAACAGCATCTTTTAGAAGACTTCTGACCCGCCCCCCCGCCCCCTTCTCCTCTCTCTCTTTTTCTTACCAAGTTAATTTTCTCCTGTATGGTTTCCGTGAGCTGGTCTCTCTCCTTTTGGAGATTATCCAGTTGAACTTTGAGATCATCATCTCCATCTGTCAGAGTACTCACTTCCTGACAGTTATGTAGTTTTGGAATAAAATCTATCCTCCCCATCTTCTCAGATTCCCTTTGACATTCACTGGTTTTCATTTCTTCCATTTCACATAACTTGCTGCGTGCCTGGATCAGTTCTTCTCCCAAGCGTGATAATTCTTGCTCAATAGTTTTTTCCCGATGCTAGGAAATTATTTTAGACAAAAATAGTAACCAACATATCTGGGGAGACCTTTTAAATAGATTATGTAAGATTATGTTTTAAGGAGACTTGCATTGTTATTCAGAGTAACAAGATCCACCTAAATCTAACATGTTCTTAAGTTTCTTGAACAATAAGACGTAAAAGCAAAACTCAGAGGGATGGTTTCTTATGTCAGTTAACAGAAATGACACTCTGGCCCCAGTTTAAGCCTTGGGGCTAAATACAAAACACAAACAGCCCCAAGCAGCATCTCCCTAAGCAGCAAATGGAAATTGGCTGTAGATCCACTAACATGCTTTAATATATATATGCACATATATATGTATATGAATTATGTGCCGTGAAAATCAGATCTCTCACAGTTTCCTTTAACTATTGTGTTAAGGGAACATTTCTCTTAACACATATGCTACTATTAGTTGTCCTTGTACAACTACTTAAATTTAGTTATTTAACAGTTGTTAATAGGTAGCAAGACCCTTTTTGCCAGCTAGTTTTGCAGTTTTCATTCTTCAGGTCAAAGATGAAATAAGTATCTCTTCCATTACAGACTTAGTATAATATTTACCAAAGCATCCTCCTCATACTCTTTCTGTTTCATATGTAGGCTGTCCAGTTCATTCTGCAAGGAATTGTTTTCTTGCATAAGCAAAGAGATTTGTTCCTTTAGCACCTGAAGTTGATCACTTGCTTTGTTTTTAGCTCTTTCCAATTTTCCTTCCACAAACTGGTCTTGCTCTGATGTGATGGTTTTTATTTCTTCAGTCTTTTGTGATAACTATAAAGACAGGATATGAAAGAGTTACCATTTCCATCAACTCATAACCAAAATTAAACTGCAAAAGTTCCATCTGATTTATCCTACTTTCTTTTAAATAACATTCTCACATCTTCAGATTAAGAGATTCCTAAACAGTCTTTGGTTTACCATCCATCTTCCTTTAAACAAATACTTTGATATCTGGACAGCATTGCCGAAAAAACTGCTATCTGGAAAAACATTCCAACTTGTTCTCCTCTGATTAAGAAACCTACCTCTAGTTATTTTTATATACCTGCTTCAAAATACACATATACCAAAAAAAATCACTTTAACATAGTGGCTCTGGCAGCTGATATACTTGAAGGAAAAATACCATATCATGTGCAATTGTTTTGTCTTCAAGAGGAGTTCCAACCACTGAAGCAATTGTGTAACATACAACATTCTGGACAGTCCTTGCAAACTGTTATACCCAAGCCCAGAGATATTTAATCTTTCTGTTTTATGATGGAAATTCCGCTGCCATTTACAACTCTATGTGCTAGACCTACCACTGAGAGAGTTCAAAATTATTAGCCTCATTGCCTTCCCTAGGCACACCTCACCTCTTCTTCCATTTTTTGCCCAAAGGCTATCACTCAAATTGTTAGCCACAAAACATAGTAGTTAAGCAGAGGTTCATCAGAGCATGTGCAACAGTTTACGGCTATACAGGAATGGCCAAAACACCAACTGCTTATAAACTTGGATCAGCCAGTACTTCTGGCTTGTCCGCTTTCTACTAAGATCTAGATCTAAGATCTAGAAAATTCCCCGGAGCTCTGAAAAGATGGCATATTTGCCCAGTATTACTAATGTTTGCTGTCCCTTTTAAAGGATTTCAAGAAACTGAAAAACAGGACTGCTTTGCAAATTTGTAATTTCTTACCTGTATTTCAAGTTCATTAACAGTTTTCCTTAGCATCTCATCAATGTTCAGAATTTCAGATTCTTTCTCAGAAATATTTTTCTCTAGTTTCTTAATCATGTCCTGGGATTTCTTGAGAGAATTCTGTGTATTTCTCAGTTCTTCATGTGCCAGAATATTCTTCAGAACAACAACGCAACACAGAAAAAAAAAAGCACCATATTATCAGGTTTCACCGTTTTAGTAAGCAATCTTTGAGATAAAAAGAACACTTCCCTCTAACATTTCAGTATGATTTACAAGCATTCTTGTAATACTTCCCCCTTAACATGTATGGTCCATTTTGGCAAGGTAAAATTCCTACCGTTGAAACAGTCTCCTTTATATCTTCTTTGAGTTGATCTGTCTCTGCTTGGAGGATCTCTACTTTTTGCTTTAGGGAATCCCTCTCCTGGGCAAGACTCTCTACTTCTTCCTGACATTTACTGAGCTGCTGAAGAACTGCCTGAATCTCTGAATCCTTGGCTTCCAATCTAGACTCTGTAATCTTTCTTTGCTCTTTCAGTTGCTCCATTTCATTTAACCTCTGCTGAGTCTGAATAAGATCTTCTTTTACTTGGTCAAGCTCCTTGAGCTCTGCTCTCTTTTCTTCTAATTCTTTCATTTTCCTGGAAAGCTTCAATTTCAAAAGGAAAAAGCAAAAAAGCTTTCATTATGATATTGGAAGACTTGATACACAGCTGTTCTCACAAAAATCTTCTATTTGCTTAGAGGGTTCAAAAGTGTGTTAGCTTTCCACAACACAACAACACACAGCAATTTCATCTCCCTCCTCCCCTCTGCCTTGAAGTCTCCATTTATATTTTTGCCCACAAGTTAACCATGTCCATGGAAGCTTTTGAATTTTTTCATTCAGTAGCAGAAGACTTCATAAGACATGTAACAGTGCTCATGAAACAGCAGTTTAGTTTAGAAAATGTCTAAAACCTATTGCTGGAGTACGATAGCCACACCACTGCTAAATGGCTTGTCAAAAATATAGGCATTTGTAGTTCTCTCTTCCTTAACGCCTTCCCCCTGTCCTTTTTAATGGGCAATTTATACAGCAATCCTAATTTTTTGAAAGGTAGTCTGTTTTACTTTCTCTTAAAGACCTTAAAGAGAAATTCTGAACAGCTAGACTTCAGTTCTCCTATGAGAAACCGAAGTCATAAAGACAAGCTGAGTGTAGGCCAACAGCATATTTACTTGCATAATAAGGAGAAATTAAGCTTTGAAAATTGAGAATTAGGATGGATTATAGAAGAAGATATAATCTAGATTAATGTATAGACTGGTTTTGCCTTTGAAGAAAGACCATTAAATAGCATAATCCTATGACTTTATACTTCTGGCATAAATGAAATTGACTAATAGAGAAATCCTGCTGACCAAGTTATTTTTTTTTAATCATTTAAGCCCAAATGATCTTTCACTATGAAAGGATTGACTTTAAGCATATAAAGGAGGAAGATGACAAAACTGACCTCTAATTTCACATCATCCAAAGTTGTTTTAGACTCTTGTACTTCCTTAGATAGAAATTCTATTTGGAGCTTCATTTGTTCATTATCTTCTGATGTAGCCACATATTTTTGCTCCAGTTCTTCATGGAGTTGTTTAAGTGCTACATACTCCTGATCAGATTTTACATACTTGAGCTGTGCACCTGTTACATCTTCTTTTGATTTTTCAATTTCTTCAGCCATATGTTTGAATTCAACTTCCTTATCAGCTACTTCTAAAAGCAGCTTTTCTCTCTCCAGTTTCAATAAGCATAGCTCCTCAGATTTTTCAAGTAACTGCCAATAGAAGAGCAACATTAGCAGCATTTTCTAAGTCTAATAGAATTTAATCACAGCTGTACGACAATGTGTTTGTACATACAAAATGAGAAAACATTCAACAACTATTCTGTCAAAGCATATTGCTCCATGTCTAGTAGACAGTCCAAGAAAACAAACCAAGACAACTTCAAAGAGAAGAGACAAACCCCAGAGGATACAAAATCCTCAAGCCTTAGATGTTCAGAACATTTTAGATGTTCTGAGATATCTCCTTTTCATACCTTTGAGCCAATACTGAACTGATACTATTAATCAGACTGAGTTTTAAAGATTTTACAGATATGTCTAAATATTATCACGATCAAAGGACTAAATTTTTAACTTTTAAACAACAAGGTTTAATTATTTATTGGGGAAAAGAGTTACTGAGATTTCGGAACTTCTTTTGCTAAGCATTCACAATAAAATTTCCATAAAGCTTACTTGTCCTGGATAGCTTAAGACTCACACATCAGAAAATGCACAGAAAAATATCACAATAAGTTTGTTTACCTCCTTTTGTTGCAACTCAACTGTATTTGGCAAAGATTGCAACTCTGACAGCTCATTTACTTGTTTTTGTAGACGCGCATTCTCTTCTAGTGCTTTTTCTAGCTCTGTTCTTAAGTCACCTGCATTTTTTTCCAGCTCCACAAGAGAGCGCAAATCTAGAGAATAAGCAAATTTAGATTAATAAGAAAGATAGAGAAGGAAAAGCAGATTTTAAATTAAGTAGATTATATACATATATATATATATATATAACAGAGTGCAACACAAGTCTAGAGTAGTATATTTTATAACAGTCAAAAATTAAAAGCCAAAACACGCATTCGAATTTGGTCATCACTTGATTGGTTGAAATGCAGCTGATGTTGGTTTCTACCTGTCAACTTTACTACCCTGGTATGAAATTAGAAATATTACATAAATAACCATTTTCCAAGTACTTTAAGTGGCACAGAAGGTTTGTGCCCATAGCACAAAAAAAGTAACATTTTACTTTTGAAAAGCCTCCAAATAGGTGAGAAAACAAGAGAGGAAGTCCTCCCTCTTTCCCAGCCCAAAAGAAAAGAAGTTCCAGCCCAAACTAACAGTACCTTTAGGAATTTTACCCTCCATCAGCGAGGTCAGCCTTGTGTTTTCTTGAAAGACAGACTGCAACTCTTTCTGCAAGTCAGCTTGCATTTTTTTGTAACTGGCTTTTCCTGCTTCTATTTGACTTTGATAGACTTGAACATCCTTTTGCATCTGCTGATATGTATCTTGGAGTTCATTCTTTAAGAAAAGATCAAATTTACATACGTAAGAATTTAACAGTTCATCAGTTGAGCACTGCTTCTATCATATTTCCTGATGCCACCTGAACTCTGGCCCTGAGAATTGTGACTTTTCCACATTTAAACAACTCCATTCTATTAGAATGCTGTAATGAAAAAGTACGTTTCAACTCATGACTATACCTGCTTCTCCCATTTTATCTTTACTGCTTTATATCTCTGAGAAAATAAACTCCACCTACTATCTTTCTTGCTCTCTTTTGCCCCTAATAAAGCCGGACGTAATTGTCTGTCCAGGAAAAAAAAAAAAAAAATTACTCAGAGCTTAAATCAGAGTTGCCTGCCCCAACTCCTCTGTCAAATCCAGTCAATACCGATTGCCCCCTTTCACTGGTCTGGGAGCAGTTGCCGCTTGGCAGTGTTTTATACACTTGTAAAAGCATTGTTACATAAGTTCTCACCATCTTCTCTTTCAGTTCAGAATTTTCAGTTCTGAGGAAGGCAGATTCTTTCTTTGCATCCAAAGTTATCATTTCACTATCAAGCAGTGATTTCTTCAGTTGCTCAATTTCCTCAATTAGTTTATCAGAATCTCTCTGGAAGAGATGGGCAAGTATTAATTCGTCTGCAAAAACATATCACAAGTAAGGCAAACACAATAATTGCAAAAAGGCTAAATGTAGAAAACACTCAAAAAAACTTGTAGGTTTACTTCATCTGAAACAAACAGTAAACTTTGAGAACTGAGATACAAGAGAACAATGTTTCCCATAGCTTTAGATACTGCTTTGTAGAATAAGCTTTCATAAGACAAGAGTGATTCAGTAATTTGACCAAATGCTTTGCACAATAGATTTCTACATATAAGATGGGGAAAGGTTAAATTTGGATTATAACAAGGTTGTATTTCAAATAATCCCCACCTTCCCCTACCCAAACTTCAAAGTCAGAAACTCAGAAAACAAGTCTACCACTGAAAAAGATGCATCCTTTTTTTCCACTTCTGCTTTCTGCAGTTCTTCCACACGATTCTGTAACATCTTTATTTTATTCTCTTTCTCTTTCAGCTGTTCTAATTTAGATGTTATTTCTCCCTAAAAGGCAAAAAAGAAAAATACATGCATCTACTTCGGCTTTATAATTAAGAATCTAACAAGTGTGCTTTTTACAGATCAACCTTACTCAGTTCAGACATACCCTCATCACCTATGGGGCTAGCAAGACTAACCAGAATCAAATGAAATCTAGATTTTCTATTGCAGATGGAATACAGCAAGACAGACATACCAGGCATTACATTTAACATCCAATCTTACAGCATGTACATCCACAAGACAAGCTCACCTCAAGTTCCTCATTGTACACTTCAGCACGTGAAACTATATTCTTTAAGTTGGTAATTTCATGCATTAGCTGTATCTGTGGAGCAATTGAAGCAAAATTGCAGATGATGTTAGAAAGCACCCACACCAATAAATTTTAGTTGCCATCACCAGGAACGTGGGCAAGAACTACCTTATACTTCCCTATATATTAGTTGGCAGGCTAAACATACAAGCGTACACCTAATTAGCTACAAAGCAAGCTGCTATATTCTCTGGAATAGAGCACGAGATACAAAGCTCTTTCAGTTTCTCAGTAATTAGAAAGGATTCAGGTACACTTTGGTTGGCAATAGCTCCAGAAGCAAGAGCAACGTGGTCAAAGCAGTTCATGCAGAAATCAAAGATATGAAACATAAAGCTCTAGTCATGTTAAGTAATTCTTTTAATGACTATGCAACCTTTTTGTTAACTAGACTATATCAAAAAGAGTGAAGAGGTGTCAAAACTGGGGTGAAATATGCAAGCTGCAAACACATTTGATGGCACCCTCTGAAAGGATTCAGAAGGGGAATACCGAAGAGAAAAGCACTTTTAAAAAACAAAGAGCCCTTTTCTTTTGGTTCTGGTTGTAAAAGCTTTATAGTAAGTACTCTTCTATGTATGTGTGGTTACACATATGCATATATCTGTATGTTTATAAGTAGAGGTGAGGAAGAAAAAAAAAGTAACTTTAAGACTGTTGCTCAAAATCATTTAGACTAACAGAGTTCACCCTTATATGTTTGTGGTGGTTGAAAATGTTGGATTTTAACTAATTTAGTCAGCCATCTGCTACATGGGCAGCAACAGAAAGCTTGTTTTATCAAATGTCTTCAGGCATGCATCAAAGCAGGAATACTTGTAGTTCAGAAGGCAGTAATAGTAACGTTCTAAAGTAATAGTATCATTCTAAAGTAGCCTCTGTATTTGTCATTGGAGACAGAGAAGTGGTTCATAAACAACTAGAAGAATTTCTTAGGTATTGGCTTCAAATACATTTAAAAACTGAATAGACATCTAGAACTAGTTGTCTAACATAAGGAACCTCTACATAGAATAATAGGCTAAATTATAAAAAATTATGAATAAACTTTGTGCAAGATTCATAAAGCTTTCTACGAAACATGAAATAAAAGGTAACTTTGTTAAATTGCAACCCAAAAAAGAACAAAACAAACAGAAGCGAACCTCATGATCTTTTTGTGTTTGTTTTTCCAGTGCTTCAAATTCATCCATTTCTATTTTGTCCTTCAGTTTTTCCTTCAATTCATTTACTTCTGATTTTAGCTGTTCATTTTCCAACACTAGGTTATTAAAGTTGGCCTGGAGGGCATTCATCTCATTTAAAGCAATATCCTAAAAAATAATTAAAAAAAGTAAATAAGACAGTGACAAACCTTTCAAGTGGTTATTTGAACTTAGATCTTTTCTAGACAATACTAAGCAGACTTACCTTTTCTAGTGCCAACGCTTCACAGAGTTGTACAGATTCTTCAAAGTCTCTATGAGTCTAAAAAAAGAAATGCTTTTAGTTAGCTGATCTACAAGATCAGACAAATTTACTAAGTCTACATTTTTGGTTGTTTTAATAGTTAGTCATGCTTAAATATCAGGTCTCAATAGAGCATTTTCCACAAAACATCTGACAGCTTCAAAAAGATTACTAAGGAACTTTATTTCTAATTAGCTATAGCAGTTCTTAGAAGATAAAGAATATTGGTGTCTTAAAAGGCTGGCCTGCCAAGTCTGTCACAAACAGGTACCACACTGAACAGTCTAATGCAACTATGAAATTACCCAGTTCATATTTTGTCCAGCAGTCCATTCTTCTTCAGAAGTTTGATCAGGAACAGTTACCCACTGGTTATCATTTTCAAAATTCTCTGAAATTGTAGCTAAAAAAGGGTGAGAATTAAGTACACTCTGGTGGTAGACTTTAAAAAAGTATACTTTAAAGATCATTTCATCTCATCACATTGAAAATAATCTCTCAATAACACAGCTGGAGCACACCAAGGAGGACTGGAGTCTCAAATGATCATCTCTTCTGAAGAGAAGAATCAAAGTCCAGCCTCTATCTTTATGGTAATCACTCTGGGTATCTTGATATAATCTTTCAGCTACAATTTTTATATTCTTGCAAAAATAGAGTTTAGGGAAACAGCAGCAGCTTATAAACTTTGCCCTTTAACTCCTCTTTCTTGTATGTCTTAAATAATGAGCTATTAATAAGTTAAAATTCAAAGTTCTCTCAAAAAGAAAGTACAGGGACATTTGGTTAACTTGCCTTTTACTTACTTTTAACTGGATTTTATTTCTTATCAAAAATAATAATAAAAAAAGCTTAGAAAGTTATCCAGTGGTAACATGTTATAGATTATTTGACTTCGGCTAACTCATGCTTCCATTTTTTCAATTAAAACGAACCTTATTCTTAGAATAACAACTAGTAGCATTATTGTACTAAGAACTACCTCACTAACTTGCCTTATAGGAGAATTCTTTGTTGGCAGACAAATCCAGTTTCTCTACGAGCTAGAGGTAATGCTTTCAAGACTGGCTACACATAGCAGAGTTTCATTACTGAACTTGACCTGTGTAGTATATGCAGTTTACTACATGTTACCAGCTGTATATGGTTTTCATATATTGGCAAATTCATTTATTTTTTGATTTAGATTCTCTTACAAGGAAATTAATGCTAATTTTGAAGCCTACATTTTAAGAAATATTTCACAGAGTTACCTTACTACTTATTCTGAGGATACTTACAGTCCTCCATGTCCGGTAATGCTGATAGAGACAATTTCATTTTTTTTTCAGTTGGTTTTAGCTTTTCAAAGTCTTCAAAATAGCTCACATTCTCCTGGTTTATTTTACCAGGAGCCCAGGTAACTCTTCTTCTTCTTTTGGCCTTATTAAAGAAGTGAACATTTACAAGAAGGTATGGTTTAAAAAAAAAAAAAAAATATATATATATATATATATATATATCATCAAAACTAAATAGGTAACCGATGTTGCAGCACAATTGCTGCTAATATTGGCATAGCATCAACTCTGCTGGTGCTTTTCTATCCATCTCCTCTTCGGAGGGTAACTAAAACATAACAGTTTGAAAACAAAATAGTGCATTCACTACAAAGCATCAATGAATTGATTCCTACTCGGGAAATATTCAAAATGACTTCTAAAAAGTATGGATAGCTTTCATGCACTTTTTTCCTGACAATAATAAATATTTGTTACGTCATACATATTGATAATGGAGAATAAGTTTATGTGCAACCCTATGCATTTGACGTCAACTTTGCTAAGTATTTCAGACTATTGTTCAGAGTTAACACAAGATAGAGAACAGGTGCCCTTACTTTAGCATTCTGATTTGAAGAAAATGAGGCAGAAGTCACTAGCATTTCAGTTAAGTTTCGTATCCTATCCTCTTGTACTTTTTGAAGAGAATTTTTTTCTTCCAACAGTTGTGCTAATTGATCTTTTTCCATTGCATGGATTTGAGTCTTTGAGGAAACCTATGATAGAAAGGCACATCACACTAGCAATTTTAGGAGTACAAACTACCACTGAAGAGAAACGTGAACTTTTAAAACACCACACACACACACGTGCTTTAGTCTGGAAGAACTTTCTGTAAACTTCACCCTAACAAAGCAGCAGACATTTCTTCTACCAGTTTACCCGCAGACTTACTATATCATCAACTTGCAAGAATTTAAGTGTAATAAACAAAAAACATTTGGAGCTTGCCTGACCATCTATTTGGTACTTTCCTGACCATCTATACTGTCTCAGAAGAGAGCAAACACAGGATCATATGTAGGTTTAAAACAGAATCAAGTTGTACCCTAAAGAAAGGATTAGCTTTTAACTAGTTTCTTATTAAGAAAGTTTATCCTCATTACTTCTTTTTTTATTCAAAAGCTGTATAAATTTAACCCTTCAGAACAGTATGTCCAGAATTGTGTATTTCCCTAGGCTTTATCTTTTATCTTTAACAAAATATATTCTTTAAAAGATTTGCAAGATGATTGTTCCTTAACACCATATATTTTTGGATAAATATATTAGATACTCCACTGCTAGAGATGGAGTGAGAGTTCTTACTCTCACTATTTTCTAAGCTTATCTTCTACTTATACTTGACATAACTTTTGGCACTGATCTCTCACAATTGCTACTTACCACAACTCAGACTTACAACAGACATCAGCTAGGGGAAAAAGCATGAACTGAGTTGAAATTGTTGAATACCATCTAAGTTACTGAAGATCATTTTAATAGTGTTACAAGTTAAAAGCAGATATTTTAACTGTGGTAAGAGACACAAAGTTTTAAACTTAGCTGAATTCCTTCACTCACATAAAGAAACGATTTACTTCAGTTAGTATCTCCCATTCAGCATTAGCTTTCATATAGATACACTGTTCATCCTCCTTAATTGTTCTAAACATAGCCTCAGCTTTCAACTGTTGCAACTCACCACAAGTCACTTCGAAACTGAGAGGCAAGGAGATTGTGTTTGACTGGTTTGGGTTTGAAATAGAGTAGTTCGACACAGCTATGATGAATAAAAAGGTTTAATATATTTTGACATACTTCCTCTAGCTGCTTTTTCAAATCCAGAATTTCTTTGCGATATCTCTTCAAAAGAGCATCATCATCGAGTACTTCATTGACTTTTGGAGTGTTTTTCATTCTCTTGGCTGTATTGGCAAACTGCGAAAATGATCATATTGTGAGGTAAAGTTAAAAAATGAATAAATCAAAAAGTTTTATTCTCTCTCATATACCCCACTGAAATTAAAAGGACAGTTTTAGATTAAGATTAATATTTAGATAGAAGATCAATATTTAATGGATATATTTTCATATATTTTGGATCCAGGAGGAAAAGTTTTTGGGGCTTCACATCAACACAAAGTGAAGCCTAACATTTAAGCAAAAGTATACAGAATAATATTTTAAATAAAAAACACTAGATTAAGACAACCCTATCAAAAGAAAGGAGTTAAGCAATAGTTTCATTAAATTCCTTTCCTGGAGGAGCTAACATATTTTAAAGACTTTTAATCTTAACCATGTTTAGGAAAGGTGAGAAGGGCGGGTGCAGGGGGGAAATTATATCTACGCCACGCAAAGTGAAAAAAGAAGCTACTCTACCTTGCACAAAGCTTTAGTTAAAGAACCCCATATAAGTGGTCTGGGAAGAGACAGAGTATTAAAAAAATAAAAACGAAATAAAAAATTGAGTGCCCAGGTCAACAAAGGACCTTTAGAACAAAGGACCTTTAGAACATTCAGATAGTTGCAGAACAAAAATGCCATGCCCATTTTACACGCTTTAGAACAGAGCAATTCTTGGAACAGATGAGAAGACTTACCTGGAGAGTGCTGAGTGTTTCATCAAAAGAAACAGGAGTAATTGTACAAATAATAACTGTCTTAGCATTTCCTCCCAGGGAGTTCTGCAGAATTCGAGTTAGCTTGCTGTCTCTGTAATTTATGAAACTGAAGGGAAAGCAGAAAGAAGAAACAATGAAAAAAGGATTCATGCTCTAACAGCCAAAATATGGTAAATATTGTTCTTAAAAGTAGAAAACTGACATAATAAAGGTCAATCAAAATATTTTACCCTTTTTTGAAATAAAAACTCTTTTAATTTCTTTCTTCATTATTTACTCGTCTGACAACCTGAATGCCAGTTCAAGTGCTTACCCAGAAGGGTCATCACAAAGTTTCTTGATTACTTGACCCAGAATGAACAAGCTTCGGTTTATATTGCAGCCTTCTTTCAATCGGAGACCTGCATACAACACACTTTTTCCCTTGAGCACAACAAAGGCATTTTTCAAACAGACATATTTTCATGCTGCATTATTTCTAGAGGCATTTTTAATATATATAAAAAAAATCTGCACGTCTCTAATGATTTCTTTACTACAGCTGATACCATTTAATTAGTCCATTACAAGACTACTATTGGATCTACTACTCTAGAAAATCATGTTACTAGAGAGTAGTTTCCACAACTTTTTTTTTTGCAAGACTTTTAATAGAGGAGATTTCATAGGAGTTTCTATTTTTGGATTCTACATTATAATGGATAATACATAATGCAACAGTACATAGATAAAATCTTTTCCTGCATAACAGGATCATTTTCCTGCATAACAGGATCGTACATTACAAATTATAGAAGTGTTCCATAGCAAAGATTCATTTAACATATGACATTCACTCACCTTCAGATCCTGTTTGACTAGCTCTTTCACTCCCTGCCAGATCTACCAAATTCTGCAAATTCATTAAACATTTCACTGATTAGTTTCAAGGCAATTTATTTTACAGTTCTCTCAATGCTAAATTGTCTGCAAAGCATTGCAAAAGTTCCAAAACGCTTGAATTATCACATGAATAAAAGTCAGTCAAGAGCTGTGTCATTTCTGGAAGTAATCTATACCTACACAACACATCAGGAAATGTTTTCAAGGTGCGTAAGAATGTAGAACTCCATTAATACTATCCCAAATAACTTTTTAAACTTGCAGTGCAATACACTTAGCCGCCTCAATAAAAAAAGGCAACATTTGCATATTGAGAAACAATCTTTAAGTTTAGACTTACTAGCTGTATGTCTCCTTCCCTCGCTCACCTGTTACACGAGCAGAGTTTACATTGAGATTTTTTTTTTTTTTTGAGTAGAGTTTACATTCAGATTTTTTTTTTTCATACCAAGCCAGCAAAAAAGGAGTTCTCCTCATTAGTGCATGTTATTGACTTAATGCTATTCCTGATACATACCAGGATGAGTGCTCATGTAGAGCTCAGCAAATTTCAATGCTTTCATATTAATTCATCCAGCTGAGCAGGATTCTTTTCTGAGCATGCAGGATACACTCACCTGGAAATAAGTGATATATTTCCCTGTCCTGCCCCCTCCCCAGCCTAGGATAAATCATATACTAGTAAACTAACACTAACAGCTTAATTTAGGAACAGTTCAGAGAAGTTATCTACTTTAGAAAGTTAGTTCACTTGGCTTATAATTTTTTTCTGGCCGACTTACAAGAGAAGCTGTGCTTAATGAAAACATATCAGAGGCTGTAATATCAGAGGCTGACAATTGCCCCTTTTTTCCCCCCACAACAGGGTATAACACTCCTTAGTCTTGCATGGATTGTGTACAAACGACACCCGCATTAGAATTTTCTTCAGAGAGAACATTCTTGGGGCGCGATCTAGAGGATGTCTCCTACAGATGGCCAAAAATATGACTTGTGGCCAAGTAGTATCTCATAGAAGTCAACAACAAAACATACTTACAACATAGTTATAAAGTAGCCTTATTCTTTCAAACAAGCTCAAGTAGTAAATTCTCTATTTAAAGTTATTGGATATGCATTTAAGTATAGCTTACCAAATGAGATACCATTACTGCTCCGTCACAGTTTGCATTTGCAGGGTCACTTCTTTCTCTGCTCTCTATGATCTAAAAGAGAGTACCATGAAGTTTTTGACAGACTAAAAAAACAAACAAAAAACCAACAACAGCATCTCATAATGAAACAGTGTTTTACCATTCTGAAGATAGTGTGAGAACGGCTGCTGTGCTCATTCATTTTTGTTTCTCCATAGTGTCGGTTCTCTGTCAAAAAGCAGTATTAGGTTATTTCTAATCTACACTCTGATAAATTGGAAATAACAGGGAAAAAAAAGCAATTTAAAACCATTGGAAACCGAATGATTTCTGTATATAATCCCAGAGTGACATCCATGATTTTAGAGATGACTGATGTAATGGTTTTTTTTTTTTAAGAAAGAATTGGCTTATATGTCCAAATAGCTTACTTTCTCCTTTTCTGATCCATTCCATAACTTGCTCTGGGGAAACTACCACCTCTTCAATGAGATCTTCTACATACGTATTCCTCTTGAAGAGAGAGGAAAAGAAAACAAACAAGTCATTTTTATTTTATTGAACTCTATTGCAGACATTTCAGTTTATTTCCTTCTTAAAAGGAAGCAACACTACTGGCATTTCCCACCCTTCCTACACACATATTTTCCTCCCAAAAGAGGATTAGGAAAGTCTACATCTATATCAGGACTATAGCCTGAAGACAAAAAGGGTCAAGAATGTTTCCCAGTTTCCTAAATATAAAATTGATAAGGGAACTATCTTTCTGGATCTTTTCTGAAGAAATCAATAACATTTATAGAGAAATATATTTCTAAGGTCATAATCAAAGAAATAGTCACCCTCCTTCTCAAGTTCCAGAAATGTTTATGATATAGGTTGTTGGAAAAAAAATCCAAATTGAATTAGCTATAAAACTGTGCTGATTTATTTTAAGAGCAAAAGTCTCCACACAAAGATGAATTAGTAACACCAAGCCCAGCTTCACTGTTTATGTCCTACTATATTAAGTACCTTCAGAATTTTAAAGATAACAATTATATAATTTCACAAGGAAGAGCTTTAGACTAGATGCCTCAAGACATTTTTTACCTCTAGCTGATACAATAAAGCCTACCTCAGCATAGCTTATGCCACTTACATTAACATCCTCACGAATTCCTAGAGGTTTTTTCTTCCTGATATCACAAAGCAGATCTGTAATAGTTTCATTGTAGATTTCCATATAAGAAACTCTCAGCAAAAATTCCCTATCTGGAATCTAAAGGTAAATACAAAGAGAACCAATAACAAGAAGTTCACAGATCAGACTAAAGACAAAGTTTTTTATTTTTATTCCAAATAGTATCTTAAGAAGTTACATCCGTGGATACTGTCCACGGATTTTCCACAATCATCTTTGTACTTTAGTATCTACTGAGAATTGGATATTTTCGCTAGAACATCTCTTCCTTCCATTTTTTTTTTTCTCCTCTTCTTCTTGCTCTATTAGTGGTATATCACTTTTAGTGAATGTTTAGTTTTATGTCCTTGCCATATCCAATGATCCTGCTGATTACGTTATTTTCCCTTTGGGTGCCTAGACTTCTCTTTTGCTTGGTGGGATTTATTCTGTTGCTGCTTTTTCAGAAAAACTATAGTACCACAGAAAGCTTTCTTGGTTTCTGTTGCTCTTAAAGAGCTTAATAACCTCATTGCTCCTTTTAGGTGCAGAGAGATTTCACACAACTAATATTGTTAACTTGATACCCTGGAAGGTAGAAACAAGTGCTCTACAGACCACGTTTTGAAGAACACAAACTACACACACATTGTACAAACCTGGCAATTACATTCTATTAGATCTTTTATATAGCTGTTTTCTGTGCAGACATACTAAACCAGCACAAAATATGGATAAACTGAAGGCGCTTTATCTTTTCTATGAAGGATCAACATGACTGCACATTTGAGGGCCATTTCTACTAGGCTCAAAATATCAATAAAACACAGCAGCACTTTGTGTTCTTTACCCACCCTCCCTGATATCCTCATATCACAGGCTACTATTCCATTTTCCAGCAAATAGTTCCAGCTTCCTGTGCTCAGATGGCAGAGCTCCAGAGACTCTTTTCCAATGCAATTGGGACCCACATTATACATAAATCAGCACACCGTAGGAATCATTAGCAGTGAACAAACTGATTCTTTTGAAAGAATGAAATAAGTTTAGTTTCATACTTTTCCCACTTTTAAAAATGGCTTTGAAATGTTCAATTTCTTTAAAGATGAGTTTTAAATAACAATACAGCACATGGACTTCCTATTACTTGGTCTTACCACACAACAAGAGTGAGCATCTATTTCCACTAGTAATCAAAGCTAGACATATTCGCAAAAAAAAAAGCGGGGCACATTGAACAGAAAGTTCTGAGGTGTATATTGATCCAATTCAAACTATTAAAACCCCATTATCATAATTCATAACTGGAAGACTAGCAAAGCAACTGCAGCATGTCTTGACACGCTGTTTTTGTGGCAAGGATTTTATAAAGGAAACTGTTTTTCCTCTGATATTTGCAAACACTGATGACAACTTTCAGTCATTTCAAGGCAATAGCATTACTCACCTCACAAATAATTTTGAAAACATGCTGAATTGCCTTAGGAATAATGCCCACAGAATCATCATTTCCCATCATTGTATATGTCTTCCCTGAAGCAGTCTGCCCATAGGCAAAAATTGTGCCTGGAAAGATGATTGAACATTACTGATGAATTATGAGATTCGTAAGGATTAAAAAAAAAAAAAGTTAAAAAATGTTTTTTAAAACTTACCATTGTAGCCCTGTACTGCTGATTGCACAATTGGAACAGCTACACCTTGATACAGTTGTTGAGTGTTATCACTTGAGTGAAAGACACGATCTCAAGAAAAAATTAAAACACACAAGTGAGTGGACAATCAAAAATAAGCTGTCATCTTACTTAGTTTTCGTGCTTTTTTTCTATTGGATTTGAAATCAAATCTTCTGCAGAATTATTCAAACATAATGTGTAATGTGTTTTGTGATACTACAAAGCAGTTACTAAAGGAGAAAAAAAAAAAAAAACCTCAAAACAGAAGAGATATAACAAACAACAAACTGGTCAAAACCCTAAGAATATTATCTAAACAGTTAAATGGTCATTCCTTGCAGCCCTAAAAATTATTATGTCTAACTTACCTTTTAGGATTGTAAGCCATAAAATACAGCCTACTTGTTAAATCCCTATCTTAAGACTTGTGTGTTTTTTTTTTTTTTTTTTTTTTTTTTTTTGTTTTTTTGGGGGGGGGGGGGGGGAAGAGCACAACAGGCATGGGCCCTAGTGATGCTCCTTAAAAACTATGAAGTCGGGGTGCTGAGGAGAATGAGCAGAAAGCATAGAAATACTCTAAATGCTAAACTAATTGTTATTAGCATATATTCGTATAATACGCTAAATAAGCTTCTGCAAGCAGTTTAAAATAAAAAAATAAATCCCCCTTACATTCTTACCATAGTTGAAGACCTTTGTACCATTCACTTCTGTAATAGTATTGTTTTCACTTTTCCAGTAGAGTGACGGTTTATCTTCCAGGGCATTTTCCCTAAAAGGAGAAAAGTTAACAACTACTAGAATAACAGCATTTATTTTCTAACTTATGTTTTCTTCTCTCCGAGGAGAAACTTTGCCTCATATTAACCAAGGATAATACTCAGTGTACGAGGGTATGTTAACAGAGGCCAGGGCTAGGGCTGCCATTCCCACCTCTTTGGCCCTTCCCATCCCAGAGGCAGGGAAATCTGAAGTGGGTGCGGGGCACGTTATATTTGAGATCAACTTTCTCATTCAAGTAGCAACAAATAATTAAATAGATAAATAAAGCACATAACTGACCAAACTCTGCTAATACCCAGCATTCCTCAGCCTAAGGGGGAAAAGTAGACACCAAAAACTACCAGCCAAGCCCCAAATGTAACCCAAAACAGCGGGGTCCGGGCAGCTCCCCCTCCTCACGACCTGTTCGGGGGAAGACCTCACCTGGCGATGAGCGGCCGCACACGCACGCAGACCGTTACAGCTCCCTCGTCCGCCATCCCCCGCGCCGCCTCTCACCTCAGGCCGCCGCCCGCACAGAGGCCTGGCAACACGGCCGCCCAACCGCCACTACAATTTGAACCTCTCCCGAAGCCGCCTGCTATTGGCCGGCGCGGGGCAGACGCCGCTGCGGAGCGTACCACTCCCCAGGAGCCGTCGGGGGGAGAGGAGGGGAGGCAGGGCGCCGGAAGAGCCGTCGGTTAGCAGGAAGTCCCCGGTGCGCCCCCCCCCAACTTCGCGGCACATGGAAGCATCCAGCTGGAGCGGCTGGCGGGAAGCGGCCTCGGCGCGGCGCTGTGGCGGGCTGCGCAACTGCGCCACAGACAAGCGGCTAGAAACGGCGTTCAATGCCAAAAAGAGGATGCTGCTCTGGGAAACGTAACAGGATATATTTGTATGGTGCTCCAAAAATAAGGCTACTTTAGCATGTTGTCTTCCTGCCAGCGCAGGTGCCAAGCAGCACAGGGAGGCAGCCTGCAAAGAGAAGCCTGCAGAAGCTGCCACTCAACTAATTTATGACTAACTTTTAAAAATACTATTAACATCCAAACACTCAAAATTAAAGTTTCTTCTTGGACATCAATCATCCTCTTCCTCATCATCCTCATCCTCTTCCTCCTCCTCTTCCTCTTCCTCAGCTGCAGCTAAGGCTTCTTCCTGCGCAGCCTGGAGAGCTTGTTCCTCCTCCACACTGGGGTCGTTTGTCTCGGTGATCTCCGGCCCGCTAGGATACTCTGTTTGCACTGGCGGAGGCAGCGAGGGTGTGTGGTTTTCTGGACTGTATTTGTGACCCCAGCCAAGGTAGATATTGTCAAATCTCCTAAGAGAGAAAAGCGCAAAGATCACACAATCTCCCCAGGAAAAACACCAGTGGAAATATTCTCAGGAGTCCTCAGTCCGCTAAGAACCTTCATGGTTCAGGTTATCTATAACTGATGTATTTAAAAGATGACATCTTTAAGTAAGTATTGATGAATATATCTTCTACTTAAAATCTCTAAATACCATGTATATGAATGATAAACTCTGGCATTACGTAATATAGAATTTTGGCTGCAACTTTACTAACATTACTAACCTGGAGCCATTTCTGTTACAAAATCCAGTGGGCATTTAAAAGGACATGGGGACTGTACCATATGTAAATTAGAACCACACCACATAGCTACTTTTGTAAAAGCGTCACAGACCCAAGAATGTGGATTTTACATTGGAGATTGTGGCCAAATACTGGCTGAACTGGCTGGAATTTAAATTCTATCAAATATTTCCAATGATTCTTGATTTTTTGTCTTAAACATGTACTCACTATTGCTGTGCACACATAAATGGCCTTCTCCATCACTCCCAGGCATAGTTATATTTCAGTCAGTAAATTAACTACAACTAAACTTTGACTTCATTACACAGGTATCTGTATTTAGCACATACAGTCTATGTAAACATGTAAACTGGCTGCTTACCTGCCAGATGCAAAGGTGTATGCTCCAGGCCATCGATTAGACTGAAGGATTGCAACAGCATATTGAGGCACCAGGTTTGTGGAAAACTGAGCTGTCCAAGCAGGGATATTGTGAATTCCTGCAGTTAAACCAAAACACTCTATGTGACTTAGGAGCAGCTACAAAATATTTAACTTAACTACAAAATTTTCCCAGAATTCAAGAAATGGTTATATTAAGAAGCGGGTTAGAAGTGTCAAAATTTGGAAACAATAAATGTAGGTATTGAATTATAACAGGTGATTTGAATCTGTGGGTAGGTATCACAGGGATGCTGCACTGCCATGTGAAAAAAGGTCATGCTCGTGGAATTCAGTAGTACTCACTGCTGTTTTTTTGTTTGTCATGGACTATTCATCTCTCATGCACAAATCATATAAATGTTTCACCCTAATCTAAGAACAGAGAGTAGAAAATTAATATTGATGTAATCTAATACTCAGGTTCCTGCATTCCTGTGATTTGCTGTGGTAATATCCTGTGATCTAAACACTTCTAAAAATATTTATAGATGCATATGTGTACACATTTGTGTATTTATAGATGCAAGCACACAGAAGTTTTTATCTAAAAAAGATGATGGAAAGATAGCTGCATGTAGCTCATGTAGTGAGCTGTCCTGAACTTTCGGTAGCCTGATAATTCTGAGTTGTTTTTTTTTTTTTTCGTTTATTTTCAGAGAGTTTGTTCACTAGTAAATCTAACCATTTCTGATTTAATGTCAACACTACTAGCCGTTTCACTTTTGATCAATTTTGTGAAAGAATGTGCTCTCCCTACAACACCAAACTTATTATTCCATGAAGCATCCAAGGCCTATAACTTCAAATGCTTACCAGCCAAATGCCAACACTACCAGTGGCTATCAAAAATGTAGTGTTCCCTGAAAAGTACCTTCATCTTCAGAGATAGGAGTGAGAAGAGGAGGTCCTATTTCTTGTTGTATTTCTTCTGGCTCCTCTGGTTTTTCCTCCTCTTCACCTTCTTCTTCTTCCTCTGATTTTTGGAGAGGATTAAGCCAAACACAGCGACCCTATATTTGATATGGAAGCATAATAGGTATATGTAACATATATTTTTATTTACTCTGTTTTATTTAGAATCTTTTTCATTTGCAAGTTTCATGGTAGCAACAAAAAATAAACCACAGGAAAGCACAAAACAATTTTCATTTAACATACACTCCTAAACTATCTGCATTTTAGCACCCTGCCAAGAAAACAGAATTAAAATTACTTTTGTCAAGTGAGGACTTCAGAAGAGAAAACCTGCTATAGAAAATAAGCAGAATTAATTGCTATCTATCCTAAACTCATAGAGAAACATAAAAGGTTTCTAAGAATACAAATATTTGTATATAAAAATATATATTTTATATGTTCAACATAATACATGAATATATTTAATATATATATGTATAACATAGCAAATGCGACAGTTTTCGGTAATAAAATATTTTTACCCAATAATATTTCTGGTGAACAGCTCAAATCTATGCAGTTGAGAGGTTTGATTTACATTCTGAAGCACTACTGGTACTCAGTGTAAATATTCTCTGAGATCAATGTGAGCTATGCAAGAATATACCTGCTTTAGAATATGCTGCGTATGGTGTACCCACATGGAGAGAGAATCCACCATCTCTACCACAGAAAGAGGCTGAAAATCAGGGTTTTCTTCATATGTATCTCTTCCTCCTATCCCCTCTTCCTCTTCATCTCCTTCTTCCTCTCCAAATTGCTAAAAT